ATGATGCATAAGAGAAGAAAATGTCATCCTCTTGGGAATTTCCAATGTTACTAAGGCTGACTAATGCAAGTCACAAAAGCGGGCAAACGATATGGTAGGTTGCCTTGGAAGAAACCTTTAAAAGTCACCCTTCTGTGAATTTTGAGTGGCAGGCCCTGTTCTGAAAACAGCAGCCATGACCCTCCCCTCTCTCTTCTCTATCCTTCAAGAAGGCAAAACTACAAGCCTTGGGATGGACCCCTTACGGAGGAGCCAGGAGCTCCTCCCCACAGCAGGGATCCTCCGTGCCTCTGCTGTCACTTCCTAGGAATCTGCGGCTGGCCCAGGGCTGCGGGCTTTGTAAGCTGCAGGCTCTGCAGGAGGCCACGGTGGCTGGTGTCGGCTCAGGGAACCCAGCAGCACGTTCTGGGACAAGGAGTCAGGCCACGTGGGCCCTGGTCTGAGCTACCTCACCGACAGGAACACAGTGGCCAACGTTTTTTTAAAGCCCTTCCAAGGGCAGCAGACAATGTGATCTGCTCCGAGGTCACGAGAGTCCACACTGTGAAATGAAAAACTCTACACATGTAAAAGATTATTGTCCATCTACGCTGGGTGGTGATTCTCTTTTAAGTCTCTTAAACTCATCTCTCTTCTCCTCTGGTTTTACAGGCCATCGGACAGAAATGAGGGGCCAGTGTTTCTCAGCCCCCGGCTGTCACAATTCAGGGCAAGTCTCATACGTCAAACACAACTTCTAGCACAACCACGCAAACAGCTGGTTGCACGCCTCCCTGCATAGTAGGACCTTCTATGGGCCTGGAATATAGTAGGATTCGAACCCCAGTTCAGCCATCTGAGAAGCTACTGGAGGCTCTTGTGCCTGTTTCTTCAACTGTCAAGAGGAGACAGAGACATAATTACTGTCTGCTCTCATTATTTATTCCCAGATTCTATATTTGCAAATCTGCCCACACACTACCGTTTCTCTGTAATCCCAAAATCAATATTCCCAGTGTCCTCACAGGGCTCGAGATCCAAGTTCCCTGCTGAGGGCCAACGAGGCTCTGCTTTCCCGTTTCAGCTCGCACACTATAACCACGTGGCCTTTCAGTGGTCTATTTGGTGCCACATTTTCTTTGTCATTTTTGTGCTTTCTGTTGGTGATTTCACTGTTTAGAAAAGGCCCAAGCACATGTGTGTTAGATGAGCTTCATTCAGGCCTGAGTTACAGAGCTATTGGCAGCAAGTTCCATGTTAACAAATCAACAATATATATTTATTGACACATGTTTAAAGGGTCTTTAAACAGAAACACACATAAAACAAGGTACATATTGATCAGTTCACGAATCAGCTGGCAGGACTCTAACCCTGGATTTTCCCCTTGGAGCAATGGCTCAATACTCTTGAATTCAGTTTTTGCAGTGACTAATAGAATATAACTACTCTGCATTACGAGAATCGACTATACCGCAGAGGGTTATGGCGAGGGTTTAATTAATAGATACAAAGCACTTAACGACAATGCCTAGTGCGCCATAAGCACTAAGTATAACCTGCAAAGGCTCCGGAGAAAAGGAATAGGGAAGACGTATGTCACAACTTCAGCCTCCCAGCCTCTTCTGCGTGCTGGATGCAGTACGACTCACACGGAACCATTCCTTCACAGTCAGGGAAATTCAAGTCTGGTGCCCACACTCACGGGCCCGATCGATTTCTTCTCAGAACCACTGTTCTTGTGGGCATGAAACAACCATCAAGAATAAACTGAGGGTTTATTTTATTTTTTCCCTAATGAAAATTCCAGGTGCTGGAGAAAAATGAAACATTGGCATTCTGTTCTCCATTCACTGCCCACAGATATGTGCGGAAACTCTGCTATCAGTAAGAGAAGCTGCCGGTGGGCAGCGAGAAGAGCAGGGAGCAAACCGATCTGGAAGCTCATTCTATGGTTCACTTAGGTGCCTTAAGAGAGAGCCACAAATTAAAGCTCAACCCTGGTTGTTCCTTCTCTGCCTCTCTTCTTTTACTTTTGAACAACCGGATAGTGGTGATCCTTCTCAGCTATATACAGCCAATAAAAATTAGAGAGTGAGAATTATACCTCTCTGAAAAAGTTCAAAAGAACTATATGAAAGATGCTTTTAGCATGTAATGTTTACACCACACTTTTGTCACATTCCATTTTAGACTCTTTTCAGGCCTGATGTGTGCATTGGATGTCACACAGCCAGGAGACATCCTGGTGCCAGGGGACTTGGGCAGCTCTCTGCTTAGAGGCGACTGACTGCAGGTGTGCCTCCCAAATCGTATCATTTCCAGGACCACAACTCATGCTCAGGTGGATCTGTATACGGCAGTAGCATGCTTTTATCACTGATGGACGGAGCCATGCTGGAAAAGTAAAATAAAAATCAATGTTTTGAGCTCATTTTCCCAAAAGTATCTTGTAGTAGATTGGACAGTGTCCCCTAAAAACTTCTAGGTATGTAATCAAAAAAAATCAAAAACATATGTACGTACAAAACCTTGATCACAAACATTCACAGCAACATTATTTATAACAGCCAAAAAGTGGAAACCACCCAAATGTCCACCAATTGATGAATGGGTAAATTAAATGTAATATATCCAGACAATGAAATTTTATTCAAATATGAAAAGGAATGAAATACTGACACACATTACATGGCAAAACTTCAGAACATCACACTAAGTAAAAGAAGCCAAATGCATCCAGGCCTCATACTGCATGATTCCATGCATTCAAAATGTCCAGAATAGGCAAATCTATAAAGACAGAGAGTAGATTAGTGGTTGTCTGGGGCGTGGAAGAGCAGGGAGGGAAGTCAACAAATGACTGCTCAAGGTCAGGGTTGCTTTTTGGAGTAAAAAAATGTTCGGAATTAGGAAGACAGTAGTAACGACGGCACCACTTCGTTGATATACTAAAACCACTGAACTTCACACTTTAAAAAAATCAAAAATCAAACAAATTTTGAAACTAGACCTTCTGTTGACTGGAGTGGGAAAGAACATGAAGGCAGCCATACACACACACACACACACACACACACACATACACAAAACACACACCACTGTTCCACACCTCCATCAATAAGCTGCTCTTCCTAAACATTGTTACATGGAAATGATGCCATAATGACGCTGGACCACAAAACACCAGTCCACTCATATCCACATGCTCAGAAGAATAATGATAATAATTAATAACTAAAATTTATTGAGTGTTTACTATGTGTCAGACATGCAACTAAGCACTTCACATGGAGTAGTAGCTCATTTCATTCCTCACTGCAGCCCTTTGAGGTACATACTATTATCATTCCCATTATGCAGCTGAGGAAATTAAGACAAAAATAAATTTCATAATTTGTGTCAGGTCACCCAGTCCAGACTTAACCCCAGGCAATATGACTCATGAGCACTGTGCTATTCTGCCTCAATTGACTTTGCCTTCTTAAAATCACTGCAAAATCCACTGACATCTACCATAAATCAAGGCAGGAAAGCGTGGAGATTTTAAAACAATCAAAACTGTTGACTCAAAGAGCAATCCTGGACAGAAAATAGGAAAGACCCAAGGCTCTGAGGATGAGACCAAGCTGAGGGTTGCATTTCATGTTACTATGAACATTCTCAAGTTGAGGGTACGACCCAAGTATGAAATTCTAGATTTTACCCACTTCGTTTAAACCTAGGGGTAGATTCCTGGGTTTCTCCCTGTCCACAATAACCTAATAATCTAAGTGAGTGCCCCATCGCAAGTGCAAACAAAAATATTGTGTGTTATGTGTATGCCTGTTTATATATATTTAAAACAACATGACCTATATTTACATAATGGGTGCTCACTAAACTGTGAGGGGCAGATGGTAAATTCTGAGTCCTAAATTACAGAGAGAGATGAACAAGGGCAAAGTAATCAGAGAGAACTGCTTGATAGGGTCCTTGAGAACTAGCCTTTAGGAAGGGGCAGGAACGACAAAGGTCATGATTTGAGGCAAGTTCAGAGAGAACAAAAATGTTGGATCATTCCTAGAGTGGCAAGGATGCCTGTCTGATTAAATCAAAGAGTGCACGATGTTTAATGTCCTGGAAATAAGAGTGGACAGACAGGAAGGGATTATGTAAGATACCGAAAGTCAAGGGGAGTGTTTGGCCTTGATGAAGTAAGAAAAGGTAAATCGTGCTTTTTAAAAAAAGAGTTGTGAAAGCTTTATCGTATCACAAGAAACACTGGCTTCAACATCTGCTTACCCAGTCCTGGAATTCCACCGTATATACTTTTTCCTAATTTCATTTTAAATATTCTGTTTCTTTGATATCTACCCCCAAGGCACGACCGAGTGGAACCTTCATTTCAGCAGTTAAAAGAAGATGACTGGAAATTGCAGCCCTGAACAAAAACTGTGTTGTAAGGTCCCTTCACGAAGCCACTTAATGCACTGCTAAAGTGCGTTAAATTTTCTCACACGTAATAGTAACAGCTTAACCTGTAATGAATCAACATCCTACTGATAAAATACACATTTTTAAATGTAAAAAATATTTCGTTGTGCTCAGTCACTGAAATGGCTTTCTTTTGATAATCAAACTGAGCGAGAAAATATCCAACTTTCTTCCCGGGTAAAACAGAAACTCACAATTCTATCAAATATATAGTCAGTGGCAGTTGTATTTAATCGGACCCCTAGGCGAACTTCTTTCCGTGCTCCCCTGCCTGGCAACTGCTCCCGAATTCTTGGCACGTTCTACAGGCATCCACCTGGGTCTCAGGTGCCTTTGAAGATTTGTGCTTTGGGGCAAAAATCTTACCCGAGGAACAAACCCAAGCAACGGGATATCCTGTAAGGAGGGATCAAAGGATGTAGATTGTACCTCAGCGTAACCTTAAAGCAAGCCCGTATCCCTAACTCAAACACGGAGGTAACCCCACTCCGCGACATCGGGCGGAAACGAGGTAACCCCGGATCCCGGCCAGGACTCGCACTCACCTGACCAGGGGCTCCTTCTCGGGCGAGGCAGGCTCCTCCAGGCACTTGCACGGGCAGCAGCAGCACGCGGTCCTCAGCCAGTCCCTCAGCCCCATGGAGAGCGAGCTGCCCCGCCGGCGCCGGCCGACTCCGAGAAAGCCGCGGGGGCGAGTGAGCGCGGCAGGGGCGCGGCCACGGGGCCGGCATCCAGGTGCGGGGACAGTCGCGGGCCGGGCTTCGCAGACCGGTCCGTGCGCATCACGCCGCGGCCGGACACGCGGGCGAGGCTAGGGGCGCCTCCACGGCCCAGGCTCTGCAGGGCTGTGCGCTTTCCTCCACTTCGGTTTTGTTTGGGGCGCGTGTTTTGTTGAAGCTTTTTTTTTTTTTTTCCGCTTCTAATTCCCCAGGCGCTAATTGGGGCGCATGCGTCCCCGAGACGCTGCGCTGCTGCCCTCTAAGGAGGAAGCAGGGACTCCAGCCAGAAGCAAAACTTGCGGGCACCGACGCTGACCCGGGCGGGGGGGAAGCACTGCGGTCACAGAGCGCGCGGTTGGGCCGACACTATTCACGCTTTTTATTGGCTTCACTCTGTCCCCTTCCCCACCCCCAAACCTTTAAAGCAGAGTTTAGGGCATTTTTAACATGTCAGCACCACAAAGAGTGAAAGTTAGTAGAAGAGTATGGATTGGCGCATTACAGAGGTGGGTTTCTTTTAAGTACTGTATTCACAGTGATTTTTGAAAAAATTGTTTTCAAAAACAATTTTGAAAGCCTCCCAGTTTTTGAATAACCCCCTCAAGGAAGGCAACCACTATCATTAGTTTCTTGAGGTTTTCCAGAGCTATTTATGTATTTATTTATGTACAAACTACTCTCTTTTTACCCAATCAGTGGGGTACTCCACGCATTTTTGCCCCTGGCTGGTCTCACTCAGTATATCATGGAGACTGTTCCATTCCAATATATATGGTCTTCCTCTATCATTTTAACAGTTGCATATTGTGCAGCCACATGGGTGCCAGTATGTTATTTAGCCAGCCCCCTGTGGGTGGATGGACATTTAAATGAATTCCAGGCTTTTGTTATTAAAATAAGGCTGCCACAAACACCCTTGAATTATGTGTTTTGACATGTCTATCTATTGGGTAAATGTTTGGCAGTTGAATTGCTGGGTAAGGTGACTTTTAAAATTTTTGATGGCTCTTGCCAAATCGTTCTCCAAAGAGGTAATTCCAGTTTACACTCTGACCAGCAACACATGAAAGTGTCTGTTTTCCTATACCCCCCCAATACAAACAGCCCATCTAATTTTCATTTTTACCAATCTGCATTATTCAACAAATACTTATTGAGCATCTATTATGTGCCAGGCATGTTCTAGGCTCTGGGGATACAGCAGTGAACAAAAGAAACAATGTTTGTTCCTACTCTCTTCAAGTAAACATTCTAATAGGAGAGTTAAATGAAACATGCACTTAATTGTATTAGAAAGCAATACTACATACTGTGGAAAAAAATACAGCAGGAGAGGGGATAAGTGCCAAGGAAGTGTGTGTGTGTGTGTGTGTGTGTGTGTGTGTGTGTGTGTATGTCCTGGAAGGAGGCTGGTACCTGTAGTTTTTAATGAGTTGGTCAGGGAAGGCTTCCTGTTATGGTGACATTTAAACAAAGACTTGAAGGAGGTGAGCAAGGGAACCCTGACATCAGAGGGAACAGCTTTTCAGGGAGAGTTAAGACCATGTGCAAAACCCCAGAGGAGAAAGAATAAACTATAGTGTCTGAGAAGCAACATAGATTTCAGGGACCCTAGGTATGTGTGGGCCAGAAGGAAGAGAAATAGGAAATGATGGAATCTGGGACCTTGTAGGACTTTGCAGGGATTTTGCTCCATATGAGTGAGTGGCACGTTGGAGGTTTTTGAGTAGAGGCTGTGATATGACCTACCTAGATGGCTGCTTGAGAAGAATCTGGGTGCCAACAGCTGTTTGAGGGAGAGGCAAATGAGTCTTGGTAATGATCCATGTCAGCAGCCCCCAACCGTTTTGGCACCAAGGACTGATTTCGTGGAAGACAATTTTTCCACGGACCAGGGATGGGTCCATGGTTTCAGGATGATTCAAGGGCATTGCATGCAAGCTCACCTCTTGCTGTGCGGCCCAGTTCCTAACAGGCCTGGACCAGTACCATCTGCGGCCCAGAGGTTGGGGGTCCCTGATCCACGTGACAAACGACAGTGACTTGAATCAGGGAAGTAGCCGTAGAGGTTGTAAGAAATGGTTGGGCTCTGAATGGAATTTGAAGCTAGAGCCAACCAGATTTGCTAAAGAGTTGGATGTAGGGTGTAAAAGAAAAGAAAAAGGGACTCCAAACTTTTGGGTTTATAAACTGTGAAGGTTAAGTGGCCAATGGCTGAGACAGAGGGAATATGGGAAGAGCAGATTTGGAGGGGTGAGGAGGAAGAGCAGGGGTTTATTTTCAGAAGTGTGAATTCTCATGGGTGGTGTGTTAGTTTTTAAAGTGTGTCACTCCACATAATTTTGTCCTGCCCTGGCTACATAAACAGGCAGAATGAACAGATCATGTGTGAGTTCATTGAGAGGCTGGCTATTGAGGATGACAGAAGAATAAGAGAGCAGAGAAGGTCCCTGAGGACTCTGACTCAGTTGGGGAGATATGGACCCATCTTGAAAAGTTCACTGGATATGACAAGAGTTCCAGCTGTCACCAGCCTGTGCAGGGCTGTGGTAGCAAGCTCAACACCATGTCAATTACAACTTGTAACTTCACCAGGATGGAGGCTGAGTGTTGTTCTTGACAGCAAACTTCCTGCTGGCTGGAAAAGTCCACTTGGTAGAACGCACTGTGTTCTGAAATTGAATTTTGGATTTGAGTTATTCCACCCAGGTTCTGGTAGAGGTGGCTGCAAAAAATGTGAACTCAGCCAGCAAGAAAATAAAATTTAGGATCTGACAGCTACAACTAACTATTGGAGTTGGGTTTGTTGAAAATACAGGAACTAGAGGGGCATGCAGCTTCCGGAAAGTATAGCTGCTCTACCCCTTTACTAACTTTGATCTTAGACAAGCCACTTAATTTTTCTGAACCCCATTGTTTTACTCTGCAAAATGGAGATGATAAGTCCAGCCCTACCTACTGGGCACCATCGTTAAACTCAAGTGAGATCATCTGAAAACCATAAAACACTGTGGAAATACCACAATTCAGCACTATTGATTAACTCTAAATAATATAGGCCTGTTGGGCAAATCCCAGTTCCAGTACTACCTGACCTACATGGGACAATGCTTCTTTTCATATTTGTACCTCTGCAATGTGTGGGCATCTTAGTTTGTTACAGACAGGATATTCCTAGAAAGCCCTAAAACCACATCTATTTAGCAGACTTGATCAGGATGTTAATGCCCCGCCTTGCTAAAGATCATGTGCAGTGTTTGCCTGCTTTAACAACTATTTAACATTTTTCTTTTAAAATTAATTTTAAATTTTAAAATTTACAAATGAAACATTCCTCTAGAAAGTTGAAATACTGCAGTTAAAGTTCCCTCTATCACAATCTGCAATCTTCTCTCCTTTCTACCCTCCCCAAGGTAACCATTCTTATCCATATGGCACAACTTTTTTCTGGACACAAACACATGTGTGTGCCCCTGTGGTGTATATAGAATATCATTGTGTGTCATTTTTTAGTAGTGAGTTTTAATTAACATAAAAAGGTACTCATTAATCTATCTGCAAACTTTTTCCATTTATGTCTTGGAAATCTATTCTTATGAGTACACCTCATTCTTTTTAACTGATATATTCTATTTCTCAGTTTTCTAGGAATAACCGTATGTGTTTTTATAGGGCCCATCTTCCCAGAAGTTGGATACCTTCATGATTTCCCTGGTTGTGGGTAAACTGGACCTTTGATAGGAGGAACGACGGCATCAAACCTTCCAGCTTCAGCTTCTAAACAGCTAAGACCACACTTTGGCAACTTCATTTCCTGTTTCGTTCACAGGCGGGCAGTGAGCGTTCCTTTTTTTAGAGTGATGCTAAACTGTTTCTATGGCCTGAGTCGATGCCAACACACCCGCCACAGTCATCTGACATTTACCAAGACCTCCTGGGCACCTGATGTTGGGGAGGAGGCAGTCCCCTGGGGGGACTGGTGACTCACAGACCTATCAGCTGCTTGTTTTTTAGGTAGAACTGCTGCCTGTATTTTCACATTTTTCCATGGCAGGGAAGACTCTGGAGTCTGCTTTCAAAACAACTAGTGTAGTTTGAAGTGCTCATTCTTTAAAAATTTACTGATAACTTCTGAGTGTTGGAGAAAAAGGCATATGCAGGGTAAAAAAAAATGGAAAATTAAAATACTCAGCTCCAACACATCATTAGTGCATGCCACAGAAAAGCTATGTTTGCATCAACATAGCACAAGCTGGTGTCATTCAGTTATTCATTCAACAAATATTTATTAAGCCAGGTACTGGAGATACAATGGTGAGCTGCAATGTAGGTTCCATTCATGAAGACAGGGGCTTTGTTTTGTTCTTTGCAGTATCCACAGCACCTAGAACAACCCAGACATGCAGTAGGCACTTAACAAATATGTTGAATAAATGCATGAAAACAGAAAAAGAACTATTTCATGAACCCAGAGTTTGCATGAAAAGTTTTATTTAATGTCTGGAGAGTCTGTTTATGAGCTGCCTCAATCCAGTGGAGAAAATCTGAAGAGCACCATCTTCCTTAGACATGCCTTCCTTGGTCTGACGTGCAATCCACTGCTCTTTCAGAGGCGGGGGATGCACCTACTCAGCAGGATTGGGTCTCATACACACCCCTGTAGTGTTCAAGTGAGGAAGAAGGGGGAGGCAGGAAAAGGGAGCCAGTTGGACAAAGAGTGGGAAAGTTTCCTAAGGAAAAGTCACCTGGGGCCACAAAAAAAAAGGGAATGGTTGCTGGCAAGGCAAAAACAACAAAGTCCACTGCACTCAGTAATGGTAGATGCTGATGCACTGACTCAAATATGCTGTGTGTGCCCAAGGAGCTCCCGCCACCTGAAATGGACAGAAAAGACTCTGGCCCGGGGTCCTAGTGGGTCCAACATCCAACATCTCAGACCACAGGATCTTTCTGCAAGAGGCACTTGAGAATCCCACTGCATACCCTAAAAATGCAGATAGTTCACCAATGAGTTCAACATCTACTCCCAAGGCCAAAGAAAAAGAGAGAAATTATTCCACTGGATGCAAAGGAACTGTCATGTGAGGCTGTTGGCACAGGCCAAGTTTCTCAAAGGGTGACCCTAAGCACCTGCATCG